CCTTCGAAAAATTCTCTCTCTCTCTTTTTTTTTTTTTGCCGGAGGTTTTTTTTTTTTTTTTTTTTTTTTCCCCCCCCGTCCCTTTTCTCCCCATTCCCTCTGGCAACCCCCCTTTCCCCTATTCATGCTCACCCTCTTTCCCTCCCTTTTCCTTCTCTCTGGGCTGGGCCCTGCTCAGGTTATACGGCATCAAGTGCGCCAAGTGCAGCATCGGCTTCAGCAAGAATGACTTCGTGATGCGCGCCCGCGCCAAGGTGTACCACATCGAGTGTTTCCGCTGCGTGGCCTGCAGCCGCCAGCTCATCCCCGGCGATGAATTCGCGCTGCGGGAGGACGGCCTCTTCTGCCGGGCGGACCACGACGTGGTGGAGCGGGCCAGCCTGGGCGCCGGGGACCCCCTCAGCCCCCTGCACCCGGCCCGGCCGCTGCAGATGGCAGGTACCGCCCGCACGGCGCACAGCGGGGGACCCGCGGCCCAGGCCTGCGCACTCGCGGAATGCCGCGGGTCCGTCTGCCCGCACCTGCGCGGGCAGTAGCACTCCTGCAGGAGCACCCCCGCTCCGCCGGAGGCTGGGAGTCTGAGCTGAGCGGGAGCCGGGGCAGCCCGTGCAGGGAGCGGGTCTGCGGCACGGCACAGACCCCGCTCCGGCCGGTTCTGCGGCGCACAGGGAAAAGCTGCTTTAAGCGATGGTGGACGCGGGGGCAGAAAGGAGATAGACTTCATAACTACAGGCGAGCGCTTAGGCTGTAATTTAAAACTGTCAACAAGCTAATCTCCAGTAATTGCCTTTTGAAGTGACTCTGCCGTCTTGGAAAGTTTTATGTGATTTGATGAGAATTTCATCTTTAAACTCAGCATTGTCGACCCACCTTACAACTTGCACCTCTAGTTCTCGACGTCTGTACCAGGCACTCAGGAACCCTTAGCTGAAGAAAAGGCAGGTCTCTTTGAGGCAAAGGAGGCTGGATAAAACAAGGTTGGCTGGCGATGTTGCTTGTCAAGTAACTGTAACACCAAAGGGTATTTCCAAACACAGCTCTGTTTAAACGGGCTCATTTTCCACTTTTTTCACCACTATTTTTTTTTCTCCAAGTGACATATCAATATCAAGGGAGAAAAAGAGTATCCGTAGGTGCCCATTGTAGAATGTAAGAGAAATTGTACATGCACATTGTGTCTGCAGCTAAAATACTGCCAAGACCATATAATCTTTATTCGAATTCACTGATTTATCATCACAATCAGAGGAATTGAAAGCCGACTGTACAAAAGCAAACATTTTTGAATACTAGTAAGCCATGCTTTTAGAAAAAAAAGTTTTTATTTTTCCCTTGACTGGGTCAAATTACATATAGATAGCTACAGCTATCCAATACACATAAGAATAGCTGAATCACGCAAGTGAAAGGTACTCTTGATGTGACTTTGTACACTAGTTTTCATTTCTTAATGGTTTCTACTAGATACTTGGATTGCTCCTCTTAAATTGGAGTAGCATTCGTGGTTTTAATAATTATTCATTAAAAATTTACATAAATTCTCCAAATACATCCTCTTTCTAAGGCAGACTCTTTCTTCTGATGCATGGCTCTCGTAGGTTTTCCATCTGCAGTCATGGTGTAGTGCATCTGGTGTGTTTTGCTTTGGATCTGGAAGCAGCAAACAGACAGGAGCTGTTGCACGTTATCAAGGCCTCTGACTAAGCTGAGCTATATTCAGCACACAAGATGCAGACCCAAATCATGATTAATTTATTAATTTTCAGAACAAAAGTCTGTTTTAGTGATTTGTCAGGGTATAAATACGTAATACCTTCTCCCTCTTTTCCTAGTGCACACACGCACATGCACACACTCACACGCACATACATGCACCTTTGCAAGCTTGCCCTCCCCTGTCATAGCTCATACAGGTTCAAGCTTCTGTCATTAAGGGTTTTGGTAGGGGGAGGAGGGGGGGTTCAAATTAATTTTCTGTGGAGTCAGAGATGTCGGTCCTGTCACTCCACCAGCGCATAAAGCAGAGGAGGCTGGAGGAGCTCTGATAGAGCCAACTGCCTGAGCGGCCTTTGAAAGAGGTTCATCACCCCTCCTTTCTTTCCCCCCCTTCCCTCTCTCCCCCCACTGGCTTAGATTCATAGCCTCTGCAGACTCCCTGCTTCCTACTCATGGGGATCCTGTTCCTCCCTTCCCCTTCCCTTACAGCAGAACCTATCTCTGCCAGACAGCCAGCTCTGCGGCCCCACGTCCACAAGCAGCCTGAGAAGACCACCCGAGTCCGAACTGTCCTTAATGAAAAGCAGCTTCACACCTTGAGGACCTGCTATGCTGCCAACCCCAGACCTGACGCCCTCATGAAAGAGCAACTGGTAGAAATGACTGGCCTCAGCCCGAGGGTCATCAGGGTTTGGTTTCAAAACAAGCGATGCAAGGACAAAAAAAGGAGCATTATGATGAAACAACTTCAGCAGCAGCAACCCAATGACAAAACTGTAAGTGGTTTCAGCCTCTTACTGTGCACTGTCTTACCTCCCAGCAAGAAATGCATAGGCTATGCTCCAAGGCCAGTTGGGCCCTTTTGATTTTCTGGGAGCTCCCTTAAAGCAAAATGGTAAAATGGTACCTCCTAAATATTATCTGCTTGTTCTGCTGTCAGTGCAGTTAAAACAGACAGCAGAGAGAAGCCGATATAGGCTGCTCAAGCGAACACGTCCTTTTGTGAGGCTAAGGATTTGCAGTAGATTAGATTAACTTTTCTGCTGTGTGAATTGCGACCTGCAGAGCTTATGGGATGTAAAAAGCCCTGTCTTGTGTAATATTTATACTGCAAATGCAGAGGACTCCTTGAGGGAAAATAACATACTCACCCTCCTCAGTGGTTTTACACAGGAGTAGAAGGGAAATTTGATGTTTTGGGTTTTTTTTTTTTAAACCTTATATACTTAATGTATCTGTGTTTGTCAGTACATTTCCCATAGAAAAAGACAAATGCAAAATTTTTGGAACTACTATCATATTTCCAGGTCATTTAATATATATGTAGTTCTTGCATAGAGATAGACTTCTTGTCTGTGGGCATATGCATGTGCACTGCAAACTGGAAAGAGCTGAATTCAGCATAGCAAACTGGCTGTCTCCATTTTCAGCCTATCTTTTTTTTTTCCTGTCCTTACTGCTGTTAGTCCACTTGAAGAAGAGTCTGTTATTCTCCCTCTGTATATTGACCTGAGAATAACTATTAATTCATAAGACTGCCTAGTTAAGTGGAATTTAAGGAGTTTCATTTTACCATGTTGGAATGCAATAAAACACGATGTTATTAACTCGCCTGAACAATCTATTCGTCGAGGTTTGGAGTTATTTTGTACAGTGTCTGCACCACAGGACATAATGGGAGGGCTGCGGTTTCCTCTTTTACCATTATTTTTAATCTTCTTGTTTTGTTTTATTTTTGAAAGAACATGGTACTACCTCTCTTAAGGTTTATGGTTCAGGGGATATACAAACCAGTTAAGGTCACGGAGAACAAAACCAGCCTGGATGCAAAGTAGAAAGAAAGCATGATTAACCGTTTCTTGTGCCAATGCATCAGCAGTGAAGACACTGAGTGCTTGTGTTTGAGAAGGCTTGGGGGAGCGGGGGAGGAGGACTGTGCCTTGAGAGAAATACGAGGATTAAAGGAAAAGAAAGTAAACTTCCACTGTGATAAATGCAGCAGGTAGAAATAGACTGACCTAAAGTAGAATGAAGTAAGACATTCACAGCAGATTAACAAAGCAAATACTAGTGACTGTGTAGATAAGATAGAAAGCAGTTTATTGACTCAGTGCTTATATACAATAAAGTTAACCAAGCTCATTAACATCTTTTGCTGGGCTATTTGCAGAATATCCAAGGGATGACAGGAACTCCTATGGTGGCTGCTAGTCCAGAGAGACATGATGGTGGTTTACAGGCAAACCCGGTGGAAGTGCAGAGTTACCAACCACCCTGGAAAGTACTGAGTGACTTCGCATTGCAGAGTGACATAGATCAACCTGCTTTTCAGCAACTAGTAAGTGTCTGTTCTCAGCCCCAGCAGTGCCGGGATTCGCTGAACATTCTCAGCAGGAGGGCTGCTCCTGCAGCCCTCGTTCCAGGGATGAGCAGTTCAGGCCAGCAGCGTTTCTCTGAGATTACAAGGTGGGCATTTTGGCACTCTGTAAATGTGGCAATTTGAACTGATTTTTCTGGGCTTGGTGCAAAAAAGTACTGCAGTGCAAAAATCTTGTCCAAACGAGTGCAAGCTGGATAAGGCCGAACCCAGGTCTGAGACTGATTTGGCTCAGACTCCACTGAAAACTGAAAGCATGTCTAACTAAACCATACCCCTGTACGGAAGGGACATTATGAAAACAATTTCCACAGTTTACTCCCCCCAATCCCTTCCCTCATTTGGGCCAATTTTGACTTTATACTATAAGTTTAAAATATATGGCTGCAACTCCAGACCAAGTCCTTGCTTTGTTCTACAAACACGATGTAATTAAAGTATCAGCTCCTTCCTTTACACATGTAAGTTTAGATATGACTTTATATTTCTCTATTCAGATATTTGCATATAATTACACGTTCCTATAGCATACATTAAATGTTGTACTTCGAAAATGAAATAGTCGGTACATATTCACTTGCAAAATTCAAACAATATGAACAGCCTTAAGCCAAAAGAAAACAGGCATTTTAGAATAAATTCTGTTCTTAACTCACTTCCTTATGCCTACGTCATTTGGCAGCTCAAATGGGACCATATCAACTGCAATACTTAGGCCCAAGAAGGTGAATTAAGGACAGAAGTTCAACCTTAACTCAATTTCCTGGCCTAAGTGTCTTAAAACCAGATCTTTAAAATAATAAGGTACGTTTTATATGCTTCTTCAGTGATTCAAAGCAATACTTAAAGATGAAATATTATTATATGGATCCTTTTTCTCATCTGCTGGGAATATTTTTCATCATAAGCAATGGAGGACAACAGTTTGTAGCCACATGAACAGATGTTTGTGGAAATTTTCTGTTTAGTATCATACTGTTTTGGAAGGGCTCTATTTTTTTTTCCACCCAGTGTCAAGCTGTGGTCTGTATGCCCTCCTGGCACAATGTGCTTACTCAGGAACTACAGCACAGCAGTGGGGCTGTTTGCATCATCTTACCTCAAATAACCGTTTTCCTGATTTAATCGAGCTGTCAAACAGGCATAAGAAAAAATAGTCTCTTTTGGTTGCCTTACAGAACTGGAGGTATTAAAAACCTTTCATACAGTGAGTTTTTGCAAGGAATAGGTCTTTAAAAAAAAAAAAAAAAAAGGAAGATGGATCACCCTAGTACATACACATATATAGATAGACACACCACTAGATAGATAGATAGATATTGGTGCATAAAGTGCGTGATGCCTGATACTGAAAATAATTAAAATAAAAGATAGTGGATGCAACATATCGACCACTCAAGGCAGGTCTGTAATCTGGAAAGGGCCTTGATCACAGGATCGGCCAGCTAAATAGGTGCGAAAGAAATGCATTTGGATTAGCAAAGCTCCACCCTTTACTTCAGGCCTTTTCCCAGCACTGCCCCTAAACCAACAGGAGCTGCGGGGCACATTAGGATGGAGAAGTGTGACCTTTTTTATCAAGAGGACTCTTGTTAAAAAGAGATATCACAACTCCCAATTGTGAATGAAAGAGAATGGCTTATTTCAAATGCCTTCTGCTCTTCGCTGCTTCTTGCAGGTTTATTTTAGTATATGCATAAAGAGGGAAAAGAGTAACGTTACAGTTTTGTGTCAAAAAGCACATGCACTCTTAAATAATTGACTAGAACATCCTGTTGGGATTGCCACTCTTGCAAGACACAGAAGAAGGCCTGGCAAATAAGGTTGTTTATTTACTTGTGGATTTTATTTTTCAGTCTTCTTAAACTTTCTTTTTTAAAACTTTTTTCCCCTGATGATTTGGCTGACAGCCTAAAGAAGAGTCTTATGAAGTCAATGGGGAATGGGTAAAATAAATAAAGCCACAAAAAGCAAGACAGTCTCCCGTGGAGATGTATCAGGCCATTGAAATGCATACTTGTTCTTTTTTTCTTGCCTTCTTCTTTGCATTTGCCAGCTACTTTTGTTTGATTGTTATAATTGTAAATATATATATATATTTTTCTTATTTCTTCTTCTTTTTTCTCCCCTTTCCCCTACCCCCTCCTCCTCAATAGGACTGGCTACCATTTTTGGCAGGTTAATTTTTCAGAAGGAGGACCTGGTTCCAATTCTACTGGAAGTGAAGTGGCATCAATGTCCTCTCAGCTCCCAGATACGCCCAACAGCATGGTAGCCAGTCCTATTGAGGCATGAGGAAAATTCATCCAGAGTTCTGATGTTGTTGTTTCTTCCCTTACCCTCAGCCCTGTTGGAGAGAGTGGGAAAGTGATCATGTTTGGACTCCGAAATTTAGGTGGGAAAAGTATTTAATGGCCCTTTAATGAACCTGGCAAGGAACCGCTCCATGAAACAAACGGAGTCATGTTTGAAAAGAGAAGGTAATATGGTAGCAACACTGTGAAGACAATCATGGGATCTTACTAGAATAATGCTAAAACAAACAAAAAACCACCATGCTTCTCAATGATCTTGACGAGGATCGAAAAGACATTTTCAAAATATAGGGGATATGTACTCATGAATCTTTAAAAAAAAAATTACATTTGACTGCACATCTTAGAGAGAAACCAAGATAGAGGGACTTTCTCCTAACCCGAATGGTGCTGTTTCTATATTGGTCATTGCCTTGCCAAAAGGAGCTCCGGTAGGTTTTCCAACATCAAGAAAGAGACGATTTAGCCCCGCGTTGTTGAAAGATTCATTGCAGGAAGGTGGAGCTGCATTGGTTTGCAATGTTGTTTTTAGTTGACTCTTAACAAGGGGTTGTTTCCTGGGTCTCTTATAGCATGTACTGTAGCGGGGTTTTGGTTTGTGTTTGGTTGAGATCCACCCTCTATCAAGTCTGAAGTAATTAATAAATAGGTTTTTGAATTACTCTTTAAAAACCATTTATAAAAGCATTGCAACAAGGTATACCTCTATTTTGCCACAAAGCGTCTCGGGATTGTGTTTGAAATGTGTCTGTCCAAGAACCTTCCCCTCCCCCAAAGATGTGTATAGTCATTGGTTAAAAACAACTGTTTTCTCTCTCTTTCTTTTTCTCTCTGTCTCTCTCTCTCTTTCTCTCAATAAAGAGAACAAAAAAAAAAAAAAAAAAAAAAAAGTAAAAAGAAAAAGGAAAAAAACACCACCCTTTTTGTTTGCTCTTGCATTGCAAAATTATAAAGTAATTTATTATTTATTATTGGAAGACTTGCCACTTTTCATGTCATTTGACTCTATTTTTTTGTTTGCTGAAGTTTTTTTTTTATAAAAAAAAAAAAAAAAAAAAAAAAAAAAAAAAAAAAAAAAAAAAAAAGAAAAGATTGTACCGTGGTCTTTGAATTATATGTCTTATTCTATGTGGTTTTTGTCTTTTTTTCCTTAAATATTATGTGAAATAAAGGCGCCATATGTAGAATTATTATATCTTCAGGACTATTTCACTAAATAAGCGTTTGGAATAGAGAAAATAATAATAGTAATAATAATAATAATAATAAATAATGAACAAAGTTCCCTCTTTTAAATATTTACAAATTAGCAGCTAAAATACCTGAAATAAAATATTGCATGCAAAGCAGGTCGTTAGTGAAAACAAGGAGTGTGATATTTTATTGCAAGTATTAACGACCAGCTTGTAAATTTCCGTTTCAACAGCTATATCAGGGCTAGTTGGATGCCTTAGCTTTCAATTGATAACATTAGAAACTCTCTTGTTCCCTTCCCTCCCCCTTATCCTTTGCCCTTAAAAGTCGTATTACTCTAGGCATGGTCTGACATAACTTTAAGACATCGAAAGAACTGAGAGCTCAGGCTTTTTGCTGAGTTCCACTATTTTTTAAAAAATATTAAAAAGTAAGTGCTGTATACCAAAGCCTCGTTGTTGAGATTGTTGAAGTGACCTGTATTTTAAGTAAGCTCCTGATAAAAGGGATGCTTTTTGCTTAACGAGTCAAGTATGACCATTATTTATCAGTGTCTGCTGTCAAAACGCTTGAAAAAATGCTGCAGAAGAAATAGGATTCGGGGATATTGCTATGAAATTGCACGATCGGTGTTCCTTCTTCTCTGTCGACTTCCCTCTCTTCACTCCCTCTTTTCTTCCTTTTTTAATTTGTGGGGGAGAGGGTGGTGAAGGCTAAAAAAGTGGGCGAGTTCTTGGGGAAAAGTGAAAAAGAAGAAGGAAAAAAATAACAAAACATTGGAAAGGGTTGTTTTTGCTCGAATCCAAGTGTTTCCTAGTGCTCCCAGCCAGCACAAGACAATGACTCGCCCTAAAAAATCCTTAACAACTGGAATATTCAGAGATATTTAGGCTGACAAGGACAAGTTGGTTTGCATGATAGTTACTCCAAAGCCTGATGTTTTCTTAACATATCCTTTTTCTTCCCTCCTCCCCATTTCAGCTCTCCCTGAGCAAGCTCAGCTGTAGAGACAAACCATTTCGACAGTAGAAAGAAAATAATAATAATAATAATAATAATTATAATAAAGGTTAAAAGCCTAATACAAGGATTTCAATCATCCTGATTAGAAACTGGATTCATTTTGTATGCTCAAGTGTAATACATTTTTGAGTACTTGATAAATATTTAAATAAATATGAAATCTACCTTAAACTGTGTGATCAGTAACCCTTGTGTTTTCATACAGTATTAGAGGCTTGCTACGAGACTTTGAGGGGTGGGAGGGAGAAAGGGTGCAATATCTGCACAGTGGTCCAATGTGTAAACTCTCTGATTTGCTTGAACTGACTGGAGGGGATATGGGTGCTAGGTCTCCAAATGAGGGTACAGGGGTGTGCAGTTGGCTCTGTAGTCAGGGCAAAACTGGGGCCTTCGCGTTTGTCTGGCGGCTGACACGTAGGTGAGAAGTGCAGCCACTCGTCGAGGGTTCCGCGGGCGAGGAACCTGAGCGGGGGCATTGCTGAGACCCCCGGGCAGAACTCCGGAGACAGTGAAGGTCTATCGCCCGAGAGCCTCGCTGCGGTTCAGCTCCAGTTGCTGCTTGCGCGGGGGCCGACCCTGCGGCCAAGATAAGCGTCCCGCCGGGAGGCTTTGGTTTTAGCTGCCGGGAGAGACCTGCTGCTCGAAGCGTACAAGGCCGGGTGGGCCCGGGGAGCTGCAGCCGCACCCCGGCTCCAGCTGTGCCGTGGATGGGAGCCCCGTTCGGGACTCCGGTCTGCACCTCACGGAGCGCCGTCTCCCCCAAGCCTCGCACGGGAGCTGCGGCCGCTCCGCCTTGCGGGGTGCGAGTCCCCGCTTTGAGGCGTCCTGCTGCTCGGCCCTGAGGCCCTGGGGGCACGGCAAAGTCGGTCCCAAGTGGTTCACTAAAGCAGCCCTCGTCTCATTTTAAGACTCGACACATTTTAAGACTTCTGTGCTCGCGTGTATTCTTTGATGGTCTTTAGTTTGTTTTCTGCTTCGTATGTCTGTGGTTTATCCTTCCTCCCCAGAAAACTTCTGAGTTTTATGTGCTGTGGAACTTTTGAGTCGTTCCCTCTAGTGCCTTCAGGAGAACACTCTTCCTGAACTCGGGCAGCAGTTTTTGTGCGAGAGAAAACATCTTTCCGACATGGAGAGGCTAACTCCAACGGTTTATTTTTGCTGCAGCCCTTCTCAATAAAGGCAAATAAGGTCTGCTAAAATTTACTATTATTTCTCTACATTGTTAAAACACACTGGGGACAGTACTGAGACTCTTTTCATTTCGATATTTGTGCCAGGTTAATCAGCATCCAGCGTCCTCCAGCGAAAGCAGGAGTGAGACACTGACGCCAGAGGTGTGAATTCCAGCGCTGAGATCAGTTGAACATCTCAGCGGTAAGTGCTTGCCTTCATATACATACATATGTGTAAATAGATATTGATAAATCCACGCTGGGTCACCCAAAAGCAGGTCGTGGGGAGGGAAAATCCGGCTCCGGGAGGGTTCGCCCGTGCCTCTGCCGCCTGCCGCAGCCCGGGATTCGGGGTTCCGGCACCGCGCGGGTTGCACGGGCACGGCTCATGCTCTTCTGTCTGCTCGCCCGAAGCGCCGGCAGCGTTTTACGGTGCGAGGTGCCGCTTTGGGCGCTTCAGCAGAGCTGTAAGTAGTTAATAAAGGGGCTGGGAAGAGATCCTGTTTACTGATTGTTGCTGATTGTTGTTTTCTTGATAACAGACCAAGCCACTGAATGACTGTTTGAGCTCAGGCGCCACAAACATAAACTTAACAGCTCCCAGTGTGCCGGCCTTGCTGCAGGATCACTCCTCACCTCCCGGGACTTGTGAAGTGCAGGCGGAGAAGGCAGCTCCCGAGGAGGCGGCGGGGAGGCAGGCTCCGGGGGGGGGACGACGGGGGAGGCCGTGGTCTGTGACCGAGCTTTCTGTATGGTATCGTATCCGCTGTCGTTATCCAGGGAAAGGGATGCAAAACTAATCGGTGCTTTTTCCCGAGGCTCCCGTCCATGCTGGGGGTTGAGGCAAGGTCCGTGCGCCGCTCTTCGCAGCACTGGAACCGGGAAAGGCAGCTTTTGCTTCGAAATGCTGTTTCATAGTACAGATTTTTCTTTCTTGCAGCTCACCACACTAACCGCTCAGGGTGCCGGGGACGGAAAGCGAGGGAGGCGGGGGTGTTATGCAGCATCACCGCACCCGGCCTGGTCCCAGCAGCGGGGCAGCCTTTCCGCTGGGTTACCTGTAGCTCCGGATTGCTCCGGCGTCGTCGTCGGTGAGATGTGGGAAGAAAAAAGGAAGGAAGAAGGAAGGATTTCGGGTTGCGAAAAAGGATTTTTGCTGAAGTGGTTTTTTTTTTTTGTTTGTTTGTTTTTTTAATTGCTTTTGTTTGTTTGTTTGTTTTTCTCCTGTTACACAAAATAGGACAAGGTATTCTTGTGGGAGAGAGAGAAGGCGGAGAAGTTTTCCAGAAATAAGTGACACGGAGCAAAGCAGAGCTCTACTCCTATCTTAAGGCGGCAATGGGAAGAGGAAAATAGGGTGTTACTGTGGCTTTTCTTTGGGAGGGCTGTTCGGGTCGGTAGATCTCCAAGGCTAATCCAAACAACCCGTTTGACTTGTGAGGTCCGGAGTCTAGACAGAGCTGGTGGCTCGGCGGCTCCTTATCTGGTTTTGGAATCAGCCGAAAGAGACTTTTCTTAATGTCCACAGCAGCACTGGGTTCTGCGGGGGCCGGGTAGCCACCGCACCTCGCAGACAGGACAACAAATACACCCACCACCTGGAGGCTTTATAGCCTGCTTTGTTGTTCCCGATCTCTGTCTCGCCCCTGCCCTCGGCCGACGGGCAGGGGTAAGTCCCGCGGGCTGCTTAATACGGCATAGACGTGGTGCTCGCCCTGTCGCCCCTCGGCCACTGAAAGGCCACCTCCACAGCAGGATGGGACAGTGGGCACTCGACTCCTGATGGATTTCTAAGCTCTTCCTCTATTTCTTTCTTTCTTTCTTTCTTTCTTTCTTTCTTTCTTTCTTTCTTTCTTTCTTTCTTTCTTTCTTTCTTTCTTTCTTTCTTTCTTTCTTTCTTTCTTTCTTTCTTTCTTTCTTTCTTTCTTTCTTTCTTTCTTTCTTTCTTTCTTTCTTTCTTTCTTTCTTTCTTTCTTTCT